TACATACAAATACTTACATTTCAAATACATACAAGTATTTACATACAAATTAAGACACTAAAATACTTATGATCTCACCAGCTTTAAAGTTGATACTCGCTTTCAAAATTACTTGTATCCTCAGGTCATCATAGACAGGTACCGATGCAAGGACTAGGAAAGATGGAGCTCGTTGAAGATTCAACTTTCATTTTGATTTATGCTTTAGTGTTTATCAAAATTTGACAGAACACACTTGTATAATAATTCTATTATTAATGCAATGGATGATGTTGTTGCTTGTTTGCTACTTTTCATTGTTGTGATACTGTACATGACGTCCTCCGCCCCAGAACGTTTCTGCCGTTCCTGGTTTTGAGGTGTGACAGCTTCCCCATTTCACATGTTGCGCATAAATGACCTTATCAAACTTCAATAGAGGAAGCCCTCGCACATGATCACAAATCACAAGCTTGTTGATATCCTTGAAATTTAGGTGTGAAAGTCGTCTGTGCCATAGCCAGCTATCATCGGAGTGAGCTTTCGTTAGTAGGCAGGCAATAGGTTTTCCTCTTATCGGATCCATATTTAGAGGATACATTTTGCCTTTCCTAAGAGACTTCAAAAGAACTTCTTTTGTTTCCTTCTCTACAATTTCCGAACCTTCATCATCAAAGCATACTTTCAAGCCTGTTCCCACAACCAGTTAGGAAACACTAATCAGGTTGTGTTGTAGTCCTTCCACATAAGCCAATTTTCATATTGATAAATCTCCGTTCGTTATCATCCCATAGCCTTTTATCGTTCCAAACGAGTTGTTACCATACTTTACACTTCCACCATTTTTTAGAGCATGAAACTCCCTCGGCTCTTCCTTTCTCCCAGTCATGTGACGTGAGCAGCCACTATCGATGTACCATTCGTTGTCAAACTGCTCATCATGAATAACCTGCAAGATTAAGCAGATTTAGGAACCCAAAGATGCTTGGGTCCTTGTGATCCTTTTATAAAACAAGGAAAAGTAATAGCTAGATCAACTAAATAAGGTCGCTTAATTAAAGTGGTTTCATTTTTCCTTTTAACGGTGAAAACTTTAATCTTATTATCTTGGAGTTTCGTCTCATTTATATTAGATTGTTTTCTTTTGATTTGATTTTTGAAGAATTCTCTTTCCACTCTCTTAGAATCAGACATTGACTTTTTGGTTGGAACTTTAGACTCCTCGACTAGCTTTCCCATTCCCTTGACATCGTTGGGTGAAGTTTTTGTCGGTTGAGGAAGATGAGATTTTGGTTTCTCGCTTGATTGCGCTGAAAAAGAGGGTTTTGGAGCAAAGTTCTTTGATTGCTTTTTTGATTGCAAGAATGACAGTGCGAACATTGACCGGGATATGTAATGAACTAGCTTTCGCCTTTTGATTTGAAGATTTCTCATTGCGAACATAGCTTGAATTTTGGGATTGCCAAAAATGCTTCCTTTTGTTGAGATTTTCTGGTATCTTTGATTCCTTTGACATTTTTGCTCAGCAAGTTGCTTTAAAGATTTGTGAATATTCTCCTTTTGATTTGATTCACTTGTATGAGATTCGCTCTTTTACTTTGATTAAGTTGGATAAGGTTCACCCTTTCCATAATGAGCTTCGCTTGGACATTCCTTAGTACCACTTGGACTACCCTTTTTAAAACTTGGAGGTTTATTTATTGGCTCAACTACATACTGTCCCTTTGTCCTACAAGAGGTCCTATCTGACAGACCTACAGTTTCATCCGTATTATCAATTGGTGCAGACCAAAAGTATTCATCACACCTATCTTTGTTGTCTTCTTCTACAAGCGATGTTAATTCTACTGTTTGAGTTTTTCCACTCCATCGACTTTGAAGACTTGATTTGGGACAGTTTGGACTTTAGGATAAACCGTGGATTTTCATTCAAAATTTTCATTTTATTTTGAGAAATGCGAGCAAACTCTAATGAGTTTTTAGAAATTAGGACTTTTAATGGTTCAGATTCGTTTTTCACAAACTCAGAATAGTCAACCTCGTCCTCTACAAATATTTTGCTCATATCACTGTCCTCGTCAAATTCAGATGTATTTTCAAGATTGATTTTATTTTCCTGAACTTAACTTGGAACTCAATGAGTCAAATTTCTATACGGTTTCGGTCTTGATTTTCAACCTGTCATATTCATCAAGCAAGTTTCGCAACATGTCCTTATGGTCTTTGGACTTAATAAAAGATTCAATTTTGTGCAATCCAATTCTGTAAGCTTCAATGGTTTCGTCCGAAGAGACGATAGATTCACACTTGTAACAATCAGCATCAATCTCATCTTCCTTGAATTCAAGGAAAGGAAAGATCAATTTGTGAACCTTTTCACCTATTTCCCAATCTAAATGCAACTGAGTAATATTTGAATAAAGACATTTAGCAATCAAACAAAAGATGTTTCTTTGTTTCAAAAACTTCAAATTATCTCTCTGCAAAGAAATTGATTCATCTCTAGACCTAGACAACTCAGACACTATCTTCTCAATCTACATCCTTCGCTCCTCACTCTTGGATGACGTCATGCTGATTTGATTAGTTAGGTTAGCATTTCCTAGACGAGTTTTTTTAAGACTATTACTTATACTTGAAAAGGTGAATTTTAGGTCGTTTAATTCAGTTTCATAGTTAGATAAAGGTATATTAAGAGATTCAATAATGGCATGTACCTTTTTGATCAGTTGATCATACTCATTGATTTGCTCACTAACAGGTTTCGCAGCAAAACACTTGCCATCTCTTCTTTCCATTGCATTCCCATATCCACTGTCAGTTGACATACCATTGGTCAACATCAAACATCTACCAGCAAACTTTGAGCTTTCTTCTTTTGCAACAAATACCCTGCCATGTGTGGGCTTGTGAACTTCCTCATCCTCTAAGTCAGTTGACTAAATCTCCACTCCTCCAAACTCATCCTCGGTCGTGTTTTCCTGCACAATTAAAACATTCATAGAGCTATCATTGGTCTTCTTCTTCTTGATCTCCTCCAGCTTACGAATATAGTAAGTCTCATCATCTTCTCCATCTTTCTTTTCATTCAGCCTTCTTAACATGCCATTCCTTTGCTAGGTGATTTTTACCATGAAAATAATTGCAGTCATAGCCAGAGTCACCTACAAGCTTGTTTTCCTTCTTCTCTTCTTCCTTCTTAGGAGCATTTTTATTCTCTTCCTTCACTTTCTCAACACTTTAGCTTCCCTGTTAGTTTCGGTTCTTGGCAGATGGAAATTTCTTCTTCGCGAACCGCTTGGGATATTAATCATTAAAGCATAATCTTCACTAGAGAGATCACAATCAGAGAGCTCCTTTTCAGATTCCTCCTCTGTGACATTTTTGCCTTTCGCCACGAGAGCTAAGGACCTCATACCCGAAACTACTTTCGCTTATCTTGTCACCACAATTTCATGTGACTTGAGAATTCCAACGAGCTTAGATAATGTATAACCTTTGAATTGTTCGTGTGCTTTAACGGTAGACACGACAGCTTCAGATCTGAGTCCGTTCATGAAGGTAACCTTTTGTTCGATCAGTTCGTGCATGATACCATGCTTCATCATTTTACTAATAAGATGGTTGTAGCGATTGAACATTTGGCTCAAACGTTCTTTTGGCTTCTGTTTAAATGCACCAAACTCCAAAAGTAGAAGTGCTTGGGTATCATGCTCAAGATCAGCATCAGTAGAGTAAAGCTCCTTAAGCCTATCCCAAATCTCTTTCGCCATAGTACATGAACTTACTAAGCAAAACGTATCAGACTGCAAGGCGAATTTGATTACCCTCATTGCTTTGACATTGCTGATAAGTTTGTCTTTCTCATCATGAGGGATATCCTTCACATCAACGATCAGTTTGTTGTATTCCCTTTGAGTTTTGATGGTTCTTCGAGTTCCAGTATGAACAAACGGACCCTGAGTAATGGCTTCCCATATCAGGTAATCATTATCCTCAAATCCAACGACGTGATCTTCAAAATGTGATGCCCAAACTTCATACTCCAAAGGGAAAAAGATTAGAATCCTTGTAGTTGATCCTATGCTGCTTATGATGTTAATAGAGCTTAATTGTGAATCGTCGTGCTGCATATTGACTCGATTTCTACACATGTTATGAATCAGACTTGTAAACATGTATTAGGATAATATCGAGATCACAGAGTTACGCCAATAAATCAGTGACAGCTCCAACAAATCCAATATTTGCGTAACCCCTAATGATTTCTTTAAACAGAAGAGTTGCTTATTGAGTACACAGCCTCCTGCTCTGAAACCAATTGTTAGGAATAAAATTCTCTTAGATCGATTAGATTCTAGCAATAAAGCAATAACACGATATGAAACAAGAACACAAGATGGATTAACTGGTATCGAATGATTAAAAGACATAACCTCAGAAGAACTCTATGAAGAATTGCTACTGTAAAGGAGTGCTAGGGTTACAGAAAAGATTGATCAACCATTTTCTAAAATAAGATGCATGCATGCACCATATATACTCTAACCCTAATATTAAATACAGTTGAGCAGGCCCAAACCGTTTACAAAGAGGACTAATAAGAAGGCCCAATGACACAACACTTGACTACCCAACATAACCTTCCTTGTAAAGCTTGATAGGAGGTTGTTTTTGTAAAATGAGAAATCTTCCACAAATTCATAATAGTTTTGTTCAGTTTATAGTTTAGTTTCAACATTTATTTTTTGAACAGACTAGTCTCGATTATCTAATTTTATATGTTAATCTGTCATTTTCTATTGAAAACAAAATAAATAAGAATTGTTAGGTTAATTTGGGAAAATATAAATAATCGAACTTCAAAAAAAATTAAATCATAAATTAATCCAAAGTATTAGGATTTTATTGGACTAAAACTAATTTTTAATTTGTTTCTAGTTTTGGAATACAAGGAATGAATACCTTACTTTTATTTCTATTTGATATTTAATTAAAAACTAATATTAGTTTTTTAGAAAATGGATGGAACATGGACGGACGTCCGACGGAGGAAACCACCGGCGATTCAAGCAATCACTAATTTTTTTGTTGAAGGATTCCCTGATGGCACAAGTAAAGGTGAACTCCGGAAGACTTTTGCAAGATATGGACAGGTGGTGGATGTTTACATCGGCGGAAGAAAGGACTACAGGAAGAAGAATTACTCATTTGTAAGATTCCACGGAGTAAGAGAGGTGAACAACTTGGAAAAGAACTTACAGGGCATCATTTGTCATGGGCAGCAACTTGAGGTAAACTTGGCTAAACATCAAAGAAAAACTAAGGGTCCAAAAATTCCTACCTTCCATAGGGAGGCTGCACTAGAAATCAATCTCAGGTATGTTCCTCATCCTTCTTCCTCTGTCTTGCATGCTCATGACTTTAGAACCAGAACTTATGCACAAGTAGCGAAGGCCTCAACAACAAAATCAACTAAGCCATTAAGCACACCAGTTATCCTAAATCCAAACACAAGCATGAAACATTGGATCCAGAAAACAGTCCTAATTGGTGAAGCCTTCAGCCTTGACCATATTGCTAACCTCCCGGCTTCTCTACTTATGAACGAAAATACAAAGTACCTTGGTGGTCTTAGGATTGCCCTAAAGTTCAACCACTCAATGGATGCAACTCAATTCCTGGAGGATAACACTAGATGGAAAGATTGGTTCAAAAAATTATCAAGTGCAGATCAGTATGAACTTCCCTACGAAAGAACTGCTTGGTTAAAAATACTAGGACTACCTATATAATTGTGGGAAGAAGAAAATTTCAATCTGATTGCTCAACGATTTGGTAGAGTGATCAATCCATTCAGTCATATCATCACCAGACGCGACTTCTCTATGGGAAACGTAGGTGTATTAACAACCAAAAAGAGATGGATAAATGAGACGGTTAACATCATGGCAGACGGAATATCGTTTATGGTGGGTGTTGTAGAATACACCGATGACTGGTCTCCTTTCCATCCGGTCCCATTTGACAAAGTGGTGGAGGAATCGGAAGATGAAGAGGAGACAAAAAATGAAGACGACGAGGACGGGATCTCCGACACATACATGCAAGACGACGCAAACGAACTAGAGGAAGGTGAAATTTGAGCAGAAACCACCACGAAACACCAAGGCAACGATGGTGCCGAGTCTTCTTCTCCGGCAACTGACAGAGTATGCGCCGACCAGGAAACTGAAGCGTTGCCGCTCACGAAAGAAAATCGTGACAGTGCAATTAATGGGAGCAATTCCCTTCTCGATGCAATGAATTTGAAGAACGCAAACGGTAAATCGATGGAAGAGGCGGTCAAAGTTAATAACGTAACTCAAAATGGGAACACCCTTGCGGCTGAACCAAATTATTCAACATTGGGAGAGCCAATTGGGGGATCTACATCGCCTGGCACTAATATATTTGGGCCCATCCAAGACCTTATGTCTAGTGGCTGTTTCGGGCCTTTCCCTAATACAATACCAATTCAATTTTCATCCCCAGCAGCCCATATTGGTGACTCGGTATCTGGTAGTGAATCAAACACTAGTGGATCAAAACCCAGGAAACGCAAGAAAATTAAAACTAATACTCGTTCATCACCACATCTTACTCAACCTATTCTATTACCTAATTTACCCATTCCCTTTCCTAATACACAACCAAACCGTCAAATTGATCTTAATGCAAATCCAACAGTTAATTTAACTACCCAGTCGGAGACAGAAAGTAGTCTACCATCTAACTCGTGCGAATTTCAACAAACTGTGGCAATTGGAACAGAGTTAGGTTCCATTTTGATGATGATAATGGAATCATGGCAAAAATTGTTGGTGAGTCGGGTGGACAAACTTGTGATCAAAGAATTGCTTATCCTTAAATACAAGAGGCTTGGGGTGGATGTCAAAACTCAATGGGTGCGTAGATTGAAAGTTACTCACAAAATAAACTTCATGGGACTACAGGAAACACAAATGATGGACCACTCTAGCATTAACATTGATGGATGTTGGGATTCAACTGATCACGACTCAGAAGGAGTTGACTCAAATGGTAGATCGGGAGGACTGGTATCAATCTGGGACACACACTGCTTTCAAAAGGCGGAGGTCATTAAAACTCGGTTCTTTCTAATTGTCATTGGTGATTGGGTTGGTGTCACAGGAAACACAATCTTCGCTAATGTTTATGCTCCACAATCACCAACGGAGAAAAAAGTGTTCGGAGAGAATTAAGTAGAATCAAATTATCCAAACCTGGCAATTGGATAATATTTTGCGATTTTAACGTTGTAAGAAGAAAGGAAGAAAGATTCAATTCACAGTTTTTCCCTTCTAGTGCATCCGCTTTTAACCGTTTCAATCACGAGGCTGGCCTACAAGAGTTTAATATGGGTGGGGAAAAATACACGTATATGTCACGTGTAGATGCTAAATTAAGTAAATTAGATAGGTTTCTAGTTTGCTCTAATTTTGTGTCTGCATTCCCTGATATAACTGTGATGGCTCATCCTCGTGAACTCTCTGACCATAGTCCTATCACGCCAAAACAATTGTCGTCAGATTTTGGACCAACTCCATTCAAATTCTTCAACTCTTGGTTACTAATTGAAGGGATTGACCAAGCGGTTATCGAAGCTTGGGGAAACTTCATGGGATACGGCACATCAGATAAATACCTTGCAGCTAAACTACGACACGTGAAGGAAGCAATAAAGAAATGGAGGAGATTGAACCATCAAAAAGAGACGGATGAGTTACTCAACTTAAAGAACAATGTTGCCGCATTAGAGAAAGTTGCAGAACTTCGTACACTAACTGACAATGAACTAATGAATAGAAGTCATGGGATTCAGAGGATTCTGGAACTTGAAAAAATGAAGGCATTAGATCTGAAACAAAAAGCCAGAATCAAATGGACTGCAGACGGAGATGAAAACACTAAGTTTTTTCATGGGTATATCAGTAGCAGAAATAGGAGGAATAGAATAACAGGTCTATCAATCAATGGAAGGTGGACGTCAGACATCAATGAAATAAAAAATGAAGCATATAAATTCTTCCCAGGCAAGTTTAAAGAAGAATGGCCGACACATCCAAAACTAATCAGTCCTCACTTCAAATCGATTTCCATGATGGATGCTATCAGACTTGAATCACCAATCTCACGGGAAGAAGTTAAAAATGCAGTTTGGGCAAGTGGTAGTGATAAGGCTCCGGGACCTGATGGATTCACATTCAAGTTCATAAAGAAATATTGGGATACAATATCTGAAAATATAATATGATTTGTTCGACATTTTGAGGATCACGGCATCTTATCTCCAGGCTGTAACTCCTCACTCATCACGTTAGCATCAAAAATCAAGGATCCACTTACCCTTTCTGATTATCGTCCAATTAGTCTTATTAGGTGTTTATACAAAATCATCACCAAGATCTTAGCCACGAGATTAAAGAACGTTATTGGTGGGGTCATCGGAGAGGTTCAATCAGCTTATGTGGAAGGACGAAGCATTCTTGATGGACCATTAATTGTCAACGAGATCTGCTCTTGGGCAAATCGTGCGAAAAAAAAATATTACTTTTCAAAGTTGACTTCGATAAAGCTTTTGACTCATTAAACTGGGGATTTTTAGATTCGGTGCTTATTCAAATGGGATTTGGGAATAAATGGAGATCATGGATTTGTGGGTGCTTATCTTCATCTCGAGCTTCAGTGATTGTCAATGGTTCACCCACCAAAGAATTTGACATAAGCAAGGGGGTATGACAGGGCGACCCTCTTTCTCCATTCCTCTTTATCATCGCAATGGAAGGTTTGAACGTAGCTCTCAAAGCCGCGATTGAAAAACGAATTTTCAAAGGAATTAAAATCCCTGAAAATGGACCATTGATCTCTCATTATTCTACACCGATGATGCGTTGTTCATCGGAGAGTGGTCCCGATCCAATCTTAAAAACTTGGCTCGTATCATGCGATGTTTTCACGCATCTTCAGGGCTCAAAGTCAATTTCTTCAAATCCAAAGTCTTTGGTATTGGGGCTTCAAATGTTGAAACCTCAAATTGGGCCAACATCCTTGGATGCGAAGCCGGCTCCCTACCGTTCACTTACCTCGGAGTTCTGGTTGGGGAAAATATGAACTTGGTAAAAAAATTGGAAACCAATTATCGATAAGTTTCATTCTAAGCTCTCGTCATGGAAATCAAAAACTTTGTCATTTGGGGGCAGATTAACACTAATCAAATCTGTTTTGGGCAATCTTCCAACGTACTACCTTTCGATATTCAAAGCCCCAATGACAGTGATTGATGCACTTGAAAAAATCCGTAGGAAATTCCTTTGGGGGGGGGGGGGGGCACGGAAAGGAAAAACAAGATTCACTGGGTATCATGGGAAAAAGTAACGACACCAAAGGAACATGGTGGATTAGGTGTAGGATCAATACATGCACTTAACGTTGGACTCATTGTCAAATGGTGGTGGCGTTTGAAAAATGAACCAACATCACTTTAGAGTTAGGTTATAACAGGTATTCACTGTCTTTCTAATAAACCCTATGATTATCTCTCAAAGAAAACTATTACTGGGGTGTGGAAAAATATTGCAGGGACCATGAAAGATATTCAGAGAGTTGGACTTAATCTCAACGACATTTTTAGACAGGAGATCAAATCAGGCGAAAATACCATGTTCTGGCAGGACACTTGGATGAATAACGAGAAACTAAAAACGAAATATCCTTCACTTTATGATTTAGAATTACATAAATCGTGCTCTGTTTCCTCTCGTATTGTAAATATTGGTAACTTTTGGGAATGGAAATCTTGTCTATTAGTGGCAGGATTATCTGCAGAATTAGACAGGTTAAAACAGGAGATTGCTTCGTGTCAACTACAACCTGGTCATGATAAATGGACATGCTTGTTAACACCAAAAGGAAGTTTCACAGTGGAAGCAATCAGAAGGAGACTAGACAAAGTTGCACTGCACTCTCCCAGTCTTCCTTTGATCAGTTGGTGCAAGGTTATCCCAATAAAGGTGCTCTGATTTGTCTGGAGGGCTGCACAAGTACGCATTCCATCTGCTATAGCATTACAATCTCGTGGCATGGATATCGACTCGACACTATGTGGAACTTGTATTAATGAAATTGAGTGTGCTGATCATATTTTGATGAGATGCTCATACGCAAAACTTATAATGAACAAGATTTTTGAATGGTGTGGATTAAACAAAGAAGAATTCAATAATGTTGGTGAACTACTTCATTTTACAGCCTCATGGGGTCGTTGTCCTAAAAAACGCATTAAATTGCTTTGTATTTGCTACAGTCTGCTATGGAATCTTTGGAGGATTAGGAATGACAGATTGTTTCGAGATGCATCTACTACAATTTGTAGAGGCATTGAAAACATCAAAGCGTTGACATATTTGTGGCTCAAATGCAGGGGCAATGGTCGAGTCGATAATTGGATAGATTGGAATTCCTCCCCCCTTTCCCCCATGTAATAAACTAAAAACTATTTTGTACTTCTTTGCCCTTGCCTAATCACTTGCTAAGCATTGGGTATATATATATATATATATATATATATATATATATATATATATATATATATATATATATATATATATATATATATATATATATATATATATATATATATATATTTTGCTGTTTCTAAAAAAATTTACTTTTATTTCTAATTCAATAAATGCAACCGACTTATTTCTAATGATATCGTCACTGGTTGTTTAATTTACCATGTCACCCCTATGTCTCGCTCCAAACAAAATATATTCCCATTACAAACCAACTAACCAAGGGTGATAAATGTCATTTCCTACATAAAAAAACAAAAAACGTTTCCTTCGTTTAAAAAAACCCTCCATATTTTTTTCTATTATTGAGTTTGAAATTTCAAATTTCGAATCTAGATTGGAATAAATTATGTATATCTTTATAAGATCATAACAATTAATTTTGTCGGCTAAACATATATATACTCCCAAACCTCTTAAACATATGCATCACACATGTATACGATATGTCAAGAAATCAACCCAAATAATCATAGTTCATAAACATATTCCATTCCAAGAAAGAAAATTAATCAAAAATTAAATGTTATTAACGAAAATGATTAAAGAAAAATCCGAAAAAGACATGACAACCACAACCACTCTCCATCCCTACCATGAAATTCAAAACAACAGCAAATGATTTCTTCATCCTTGTCCAATAATGTCACAACGAACTAGTACCTCATGCAATGAAAGTTGTACATAGTTGGAGGGAAATTTCAGTTCTTCTTTCGTTTTCAAAGACCCTTCCTTAGGTAAGAAATTCATTACTCCATAAGCATAAATATATTCCATTTCCTGTTCATTGCTTTTTCTTCTACTGCAAGTGAAAAATCCGAAATATGGTTGTTGTTATATGATATCTAACCTACACTTGCTTTATACGTACTCCCACATCTTCATAATCTACCCTAGATTATCTTTATCGTTTCTCTAGCTCATCTTTCTACTCCGATTACGTATGTTTTCATTTCGATTTTCCATGTAAAATTCTGGGTTTTTATAGAAAAACTAACATGGATTAGATGTCTTTCAGTGATTAAACATCATCATGCCATTTGGGTTGGTTTCGGCTTGGAATAAGAGAAGAAGAAGCAAGTCAGATGATCATCTTGATCCATGTAAGTGTTGTTCAGTTTCTGCATGTTAATTAACAGACAAGATTTCTTGAAGTTTTAATGGTGGATGATGAATTTTCAGGGGTTTATAGACCTGTGGAGTATTGGAAACTTGAAAATGAACAAAAGATTCAAAACCCACCTCAGAAAAAGCACCATGGATCTTCGGTTTTTACATTGAAGGAAATGGAAGATGCGACTTGTTCTTTTAGTGAAGAACATTTAGTGGGGAAAGGAGGATTTGGAAAAGTCTACAAGGGAAAGTTGCAGTCTGGTGAGGTAAGAAAGTTATATTGAGTTTAATTATTTTTTTAATCTTTTTAAAATCCCAAATAGACATAGAAACTATGATCTTTTGCAGATGATACCAAGTTATTCGTGTTTTATACATTCTTTTCATTGTTTTTTCAAATACTTTTAAATAGTGCAAAACCAAAAGTATGATATTGAAGTGTAGTATGAATTAATGTTTCAAAAATAAACTTTTAATCGCCCCAAACTGACTCAAAAACAATTACAATTAATAGTTTAGTGGTGCATGTTGTATACATTATTTAATTTTATCTGTTTTTTCACATAACAAAAAGATTTATATAATAGGAAACTAACTTTAATATTTATAACCAGACCTAATTTCAAAAAAGCCCTTAAGTTTAGCAGGAATGTTCGATTTTACATTTTTAACGTATTTCTGGATCATTGAAATCGGAAGTTTGCTAACTTTTATTTAAATTTTACCTTTTTACATATTTCACTATTTTTGGTTCATTAAAGCTTTTAAATTTGATATAAATTCCGGTTTTATCTTTTTTGTGGTTTATTAAAATTGTAAGTTTGATAGAAATGCTCGGTTTTATCGGGTAACTAGCAAAAAAATGTAAAATAAAAAAATAAAAAATAAAAAGTTGCAAATCTAGCTTTAATGAATCAGAAATACTAAAAGGCCAAACATTTTTACCAAATTTAAAGGTTTTATGACATTAGACCTTATGAAAATTAGAGATAATAAAAAATGATCTAATTTAACATTTGGACCACCTTTAAAATCAAAACGGCAAACATAATCAATTTCGCAATTCAACAGTTTTTCAATTCCACCAAAAATAAATTATCTCAATCACAAAAAATGTGAAAAAACGCTAAAAAGATCTAAGAAAAATAATACTTTTTAGAATTGTTTTTGAAGAAAGAAAAAGAAAAACTTTATAATTTAAAAATGTCCATGTTTATCCTATGAATACTGTTGATTTGCATTATTGCAAATTTAAATCCCGATATACCCTTGTTGAATCTATCATATACCATAGGCATTTTAACACTCACACCAACCGAAATACTTGATAATATTTATAAAGATAGTTTTCTCACAATTCTAGAGATGAGAGTCTCCAAAAAAAAGAATAATGTTCTCTTACAAATTAATTCTTAGCTATCTTATCTACCTTCTAACTAGACATATATACTAGGACTAAAATAAGACAAAAGAATTACAACACACCTGACCATAAAAAGTGTCCACATTAACATGGGACTACAACTAACATAAAATCCTTTACTAATATCAAAAATACTAAAATACCCCTCGGCTATAACCCAGTCAAGTTGGGGCTTATCACATCAACAGCCAAAATAATAATAATAGGATTCACGACTGTATCACTAAATTTTTCAGTACTGCAAAACATATGTCTCCCAAACAAGAAAACCTTAAAATAATAATTGAAAAAAAAATCACTATTTCAAAATTGTAAGAACAAGTTCACAACTTTTAAGAACAATTTTGAAATGTGAAATACACTTTAAACTTTATAAATATTTTATAGAAATTTTTGTGATGGGAAACTGTTTTGAAATTATTTGTAATCTCGTAATTGACCGGTTGCAAAATTGATCATCAATTTGACTTTTTGTCTAAATAATGGTCAAATTGATAAATGCTTTTCCAAAAATAACTTTTAGCACCCTAATTAAACCTAAAAACAATAACCATGTTGACGTTTAAGTTGTTTTCATTTTTTTTTTTTTTTCACATAAAAAAAACATTGTAAACAATGTAAAGACTAACTTTAATATCTTTATAAATGATGTGTACAGTTAATTAAGCTCCAAAAAAAACTTTCAAGCTCCCAAAGTAAACCCAAAAACAATGATCACATATGTTGCGTATTGTTCTTGTGTATAGTTTCTCATATAACTAGACAAATTCACACATATTATCTTAATAAAGATGGGTTTATAGATGAAATCAGGAAAAAACAAAAAACAGATTTTGAATGAAAATTAAAAATCTTGAATTTTTATTGGAAGGTGGTTGCGATCAAGAAAATGGAGTTACCACCATTTAAAGCAGCAGAAGGGGAACGTGAATTTCGGGTTGAAGTTGATATTTTAAGCAGATTAGATCACCCAAATCTTGTATCTTTGATAGGATATTGTGCAGATGGGAAACACAGGTTTCTTGTTTATGAATACATGCACAAAGGAAACTTACAAGATCACTTAAATGGTTTGTGTTTTTTTTTTCTCTTTTTATCCGTTTGTAGGAGCAATATCTAAATACTATATTTAATTTTGGATTGATAAATGATAAATACAGGAATTGGGGAAAAGAAGATGGATTGGGCTGTGAGACTTAAAGTGGCAATTGGGGCAGCAAAAGGACTAGCTTATTTGCATTCAAGTTCTGCTGTTGGAATTCCTGTTGTACATAGAGATTTCAAATCAACCAACATTCTTCTTGGTGATGATTATGAAGCAAAGGTATAATCCCCTTTAGTTTCTTTAACATTTCTACGCGAAAAAAAAAAAGAAAAAAAAAAAAAAAAGTTATTCTTGCAACTACTGTCCCACATGTTATGTCATTTCCTGTCCTAAAGCATCATGTGAGAGATAAATCAGGTACAGAAAGCATCTGTTGGCTAGTATACAGGCCTAGTGTCCACAGACAGATCCATATTGGATTTAAAACTCTTACATTGTGTTTATTGATATTTAATACTTGAACATTTGACCTTTTCTACAACTTCTTCGATTTCCAAATTTAGTAACTTTATGGTTTTAATATATATCAGATTTCGTGGACTGTCCATAGATCAATCCACATTAGAATTAAAATTCAAATTTTGTTTGTTGATATCTAATACTCGAACCTTTGACTTTTTCTACAACTTCTTCAATTTCCAAATTTAGTAATTTTATGCTTTTAACAGATATCAGATTTCGGTCTGGCTAAACTAATGCCCGAGGGTCAAGAAACTCATGTAACAGCGAGAGTTCTTGGTACATTTGGCTATTTTGACCCCGAGTATACATCGGTAAGATTATGATATTCAAGTTCTTCTTTTTTCTATTCAAAGTTGTCTAAATCGGTAAAATAACCACATTTCTATATATATATATATATATATATATATATATATATCAAAACGGTTGCATTTCAACTTACAGACGGGAAAACTCACTTTACAAAGTGATGTTTATGCATTTGGAGTCGTTTTGCTTGAACTTTTGACTGGGCGTAGAGCTGTTGACCTCAACCAAGGACCCAATGATCAAAATCTTGTACTCCAGGTATATTTTTTTGTGTGATTTACAAAAATGTATAGGCCAAAATCGAAACTTTTCTCAATTTTGGTCCTTATATCAAGGTTTCATATCAGTTTTGGTCCCTAGAGTCCTGAAATAAAAACCAAAACCAATCCAAAACCTTTAAATAAGGACTAAATTTGAAAAATGTTACAATTTAGGACCAACCATGGTAAAAATCAGAAAGCACATGGACCATTTTTGTAGTTTAGTTTTTTTCTTTTTACAAGACCTTATAAGAGGTGGAGAATCAAGATATCAATAAGGGTATTTATGGAAATATGCAGGTTAGGCATATATTGAATGACAAAAAGAGATTGAGAAAGGTGATAGATCCAGAAATGAGTAGAAGCTCATACACAATCGAGTCGGTAGCCATGTACGCAAATTTAGCATCAAGATGTGTACGTGTTGATAGTTATGAAAGGCCATCAATGGAAGCATGCGTGAAAGAACTCCAAATTATCATATACACAAACTCCAAAGGCTTGGGCATGGCTATGCATGCATTTAGAATGTTATAAAGATTCGTTAGATTCAACTTTATTTCTAAAAGTAATTATTTTTCCTTCTTATAAACAAGTATAGCATAATGCCATTGAAGTTTTTGGTGTTTTTCAAAGAAACATGAGGATCCCACAAACCCTAATAGAGAATGAGAATAGTTTATATTTTGCTCCCAAAAACAAAAGTTTATCGATATCATGTCTCTCATTTCAAGTACACATCATTTGTATTCTACTTGATTGCTAGTTTCTGTATTCTGCTTTATTTGGTTTTTTTGAGGTTCTAGTTCCATATGGTTGCATACATCTTATCTCCCCTAACCAAATCCATATGGGATTTTGGGTTTGTTGTTGTATCATGTACTTTCATATGTTACTATTCATTACAACAATATTTTCTTTTGTGAAACTATACAACAAAAAAGTACACGTTTTGAGTTTTCCTATTATACACTAATTGTAGAGCTTTAGACATATCATACCTCACGACTATGACCCGATTGGAAATCTTTGAAATGCATCTCTTAGGTTGACCGAGTTGACTTGTAATAAAAAGTCAACCCGATTCGTTGCTTTAAACCAAAATCTTGACCAAAGAACCAAACTTCAACCATATGAAACCAAGATTTCTAAGCATCCATTTGCGCAAGATTTTTGTCATCATCATATGACACATTTGTCTCTGAAACGATGTTGGAGGGTGGAGGAAGTTGTTTACACATTAAATGCTTACGTCTTTGTAATGTTAAAAGGATCAAAATGCTATCAGTTTTGAAGATTGTGTATCCTGCTTTTGAATACATGTGAAATGGAGCTGAATCGATCATTCTACAG